CACAGCACTCTTTTTACGCTACAACGCGTTATCTGTCAACAGCTAACCGTCTACGGTCTGGCGGGGAAGCCGGATCGGTATTGAACACACTTTTGCTGACAGATATTGGGTATCACTAATCAATCAATCAATAATCAATAAGAGTTATGATTTTTTGTTTGAAAGTACCTTGAAACACTTTTTATTTATATGTTTTATATGTACCAAATATTTTATGTGATGATTTTAATTTGAATTTGATTTTCAATTTATAAGATTTTGAAGATAACAACTTTTGCACCCGGAAAAAACGCCATTTGCGAGTACATAACTTTGCAGATTCATGGGCTAAAAGTAATAGAAATTTCTTGATTTTAACATCATTAAACTGCGTATTTTCTTGCAAACATTTTGGTATACAACTTTCCTAACTTGTTATAAGAAAGAGCTGTCGTGGGAGCATTGTTCGCTTGCTACTTATGAACGAACGGTGCGCAGGGGGAAAGTGGCTGACTAGTGGAGCGGCGCACAGGATTAGTAGAGCTTGCGGCGAGCTCCATCTCAAATCAAGTACAGGCAAGTTGCTTACCAAAACGTTCGCAGAAAAATGCCCAATAGGACGATACAACAATAGGTCATGCAATTCATGGCAAAAATTATATTAAGAAACCAAAACGGCACAAACTCTACAGTTTTGCTCCATGAATAACGCTCGACTTCGTGTTGCAATCGCCGATCGCAAATATCACAAAAGACCTAAGGTAGGACATTTTAGGAGGCTTTACCTTGCCCGCCTTACTTAATCGACATTACATCGTCAGACTACTACTTGAAATTACCGAAGTTAAGTTAGAAATGAGTAAATTTGTGAATAAATAGCGCTTTTCGCATACATAAGTTGGCATCTTCAATGTATTTTGAAAACTATCATGTGAAATATTTTGTTAAAAAAATATATAACTAAATATATTAACACGACCAATCCAACTACAAATCGCAGAGAAGAATGCCTTGTTATCACTTGTGATATGAGCGTTTATGAGGATTAACATAACACCTGGTGCCTGGCTTAGGAAGAAAGTTAAGAATAACTTAATAGCATTTTGAACGCACTTTCAAAGGAGAAAAAGGAATTTCTGTCTCTTCATAACTTTTTACAACAAAGAGCTCATGAGGCGCAGTGGTTGGAGGTGTTCTGCGTCGCATACAAGGGCGGTGGTTCGATCTCGGGCTCATGGCACACTAAGCCATCCATCCCTCCGGGGTTGGTAAATTGGTGCCAGACTGGTCTCGGACTTGTTTGGGAGGATACGCAGCACTGACTTGGTTCAGCGGGAGGCCACCGCGAGTTATTGTAAAGGCCAGATATGCAATCAATCACCTCAAACGAAATTAGACATTGAACACGAATGCATAGTGCATCTCTCAGGGGTTGACAAACGCCGAGAGCTTCATCCTTTGTTCTTGTGTTACAGTAAAAAAAAAACGGTAGAGTCATATTTGTAAACGTGATAACATGCATGCCTAGTTGGTTTACTTGGTTCTAAGTTTGCCGATTAGGTTTTATATTATACGGATGCAGAGTGGTCTACCCGCTTCACCAATTTATTCTATACCAAAAACCTGACAAGGGGCTAATATTATACAATTTGCGTTCTGCATCGACGATCATAGATAGTCGGTGTACTTCAATTATAGCTACCAATTTTCCCGAGCCTATGCGTTTTGTGCAACACTTTACGGCTACATTACTATGAAAAATAAAGAAGCAACGTTACAGCCAAATTTTTTTTATCATATGCACGAGGAATAAAAAGTAATTATAAAATCTTTTCAATTTGAATTGTGTGCTAGGATACGTTTGGTATTTCAAACTGCCTTTAGACTGATCCATAGTATCAACTGTTTTTCAACCTCATAATAAATATTCAATATAATTCTTAGGAATATTTACAGCCTTACCCGAGGTTGTTATGCCAGAGCCATGCACGTGTTACTATGAATCATTTTGTATCTACCAGCCGCGAATCATTGACTGAAAAATGCAGCGATAGCACAATGTCATTGTACGTTGTACTGTCGCCTCATTCGCCTCCCTCTTTGCTACAATGCAGGGCTTAATGTGGGACGTGGGCCATTGCCGAGGGAAGCGAGACCTACGAAACGCGTGTACGGCTGCTCTGACGTGAGGCTTAAAACATTTTTAAGAATTATATTGAAAGCCTTTAAAATACTGTTGTATTCTTGAAATGATTTTTTTTCAAATCAATGCATATAGATGATGGACATAAACAATGATTTCCTATAAGAGTCATTTTTAATAGGTTTCTAACATACAACATTGTGCCAGTGATGCGTTCTTGACTTATTTACATTCAGTTAAGTGCCAATCAGCTGAAATCAGACGCTTTGAGGTATAAAAGTCATTACAAAAGACAGTGAGGCTAGCTAGCTACCATTATTTGTGTTCCTTGAACTTCAGCTCTTCATATGTAAGTGCATCAACCATATAAGTCACAAATAAAAGCGATTAGATCATAAACGCTTGATGCCGCCCTATTCCTTTGTTATGCTTGATGCACTGATTCCATTCGTGGTATTTTGAGAGTGACTAAACACACATATAGTTTATGTCCTGTAGTGACTTACTAATTTGTTAAATTGGTGAATTGTTCTCCACATACGAATCAAGTACCAATCTGACGATCCAGGAGCGATAAAGAGCTTGGTTACCTCAGAGATAGAGATCGAACCAAAACCCGGTTTGTAATTTTGAGCATCTCTAACTATTGTGCCACATGAGCTCATATCAAAATGAGATGAGGCAAGAAATAATGATTTGAAATACAATTATTACGATTCATAGATAAGTGATTATTGTACTCAAGTACAACTTTAAGCTGAATGCCCAAAAATCAACCATGTGAAGTTCAAACAATTCAATGAAATGCAAACAGAAAATAATTATGAATTCTGGACACAGCTGATGATAGGGAGAAAGTAAACGAAACTGTACACTGAATGCAAGAAAAGTTGCTAGCAGTTATAGGAATCCCAAGAAGTCTCAATGTCGTGAGGAATGTTTAGAATTCCATATCCAAAATACTAAGTTGAGAAAAAGCTATTCCATCTATACCCAAACGGTGAAATACGGGTTCGACTCCCGTCAGAGGCCACATTTTTGCTCACCACTCAATTGGGTTTGGTATATATGAAACTCATAACCTGGCAAAAAAAGCAGTAAAAACACCAGAATTCTCAAAAAAGTTGTTGCAAATTCAGTGAAATACCTCAAAAATAATTACATGAAAAAGTCCATTGCAATGCATCAAATTTTAATCTACTCTTCGGATATCAAATGATGACAATGGACAAAATTAAGCTCCTAGTTTTGATACGCTATTACTGGATGCGACAACTTTCAACAAGAGATGCTGCGGAGGAAATCTGTGGTGCAGAAGGACTCTCTGTGAGCAGCTGATTCAAGTCTACGATGCTTTGAAGGAAAGTAACCGACGTTGACTTGTCGAAAGTGCCCGTTGTTTCAGCAAAACATTGTCACCTCACACCTCAAAGAAAGCTGAGAGAAAGTGTCATTAATTGGAGGGAGGCGAGGTCGTGCCGCACCCAGCCTACATTAGAGATGCTGCGGCGTCCGATAGCGGTCTTAAACGCTCAGTGGAATATTTCCTCTGCGGACGCCGATTCGAGACATTTGATCATTTTGAAAAGACATGCTAGGAATTCTCATGATTCAAAGCCCAAGGAATGGCCGCATTCGAGCAGACCCGGAAGCTTGCAAAATGTTGGCATATGATCGCGGATAATGATGGTCTTTGGTTTGGAAATAACTGTTGTTTTTGAAGTACTTATGTATAAACTTTGAAGTTCCAATGGGTGCTAAAGTTTTTCCTTAGCCTAACAATGTTTGAAAAAGAGTCTTGTTTGCACATGTGAAGACAGTGCAAAAAAATCCTTTTATAGTCTGCTAATTGTCTTCCAAAAACCTATACTAAAATATCCATTAACTCATTTTTTGAACGCCGGTGCGATATGTAATGATCTCAACACGTACAGGTATCTCTACACTACTCTACCTTCTAGCAACTTTAGAAAATGCTATGGAGCTCATGGTACCTCTATGTGAAGTAAAAATCAACATTAGATTCTGCAAAACTTTTCAAGCAAGATAAAAGTCCTCTTCTTCAGGTAATTGGAACTCTGCTCCTATTTTTTTGGTTTATATTGATCATTTCGTTTTCTTTCTTTTCTGACATCGAAGCTTGTATCTCGTCAATAGGTAAAGCTGTTAGATGTTCCCTACATCACGACACAATTGTTCAGAAAACGTCTTTGATATTGGCGGCTCTCATAGCTGGGTTTCTAAACTTGAAACTTAAAATATCTACATTCGTCATCAGTGCGGTAGGGGAATGTCTTGCATATTTGTCAACCAAGTGAAGAAAAACTATGGGTTCTCTCCATTGGACGGCACGAGGAGAAGAAGCAACCCCTTTTGTTGGACAAGAATTTTTCATAAGAACGTTGGAAATCATTAGAAAGCTCAAATCTCTAGCTACAGCGTTGCTAAATGTTTTTTGGAGAAGCCTTCTTACAACGCTGTAGAGAAAGAAAACTTTTATGCTCACACATGCACTTTTTTCGCAGGAGGAACATTTTGGTCAAAATTTCTGGTATTTTTTACTGCATTTTTTCGCAGTGTCATGATGTTTCGTATAAACCTAAGAGAAATTAAGTGGTGGGCAAAAACACGGCCTCAGGAGCGAATCAAACCCGAATAGCTAACATAGAGACTATAAAACACCACTCATCAAAACAAATAAAACATAAAAACAAAAAAATGCAGTAAAAATACTAAGAATTTCGACTTCTAGTTATAACAGTGGCTGTCAGCCCAACTGAATTCATAAAGCGAAATCGCTTACCCGACTAAATCTGTTAAAGCTTGGTGGCTGATAGCCAACATAGAGATGTTAAAGAATGAGTGAAGGTTCAAATGTGTAACGGTGGTGTAGTGGTAGTAACACACGTCTTCGGTATAGATGAAACGCGGGTTCGATTCTCGCCCAAGGCTGCATTTTTGCTACCACTCAATTCTCTTAGGTTTACACATAACATTTCCCTTAGAATTTAAGTAACCACTCAATAGCGTAAGTTTCACAATTCTAACGCTGTGCTTGTTTCTTAGAAGGACCGCTATACTGCGGTTTAACAGAGAGAATAAGATCCAGTTTTACATAGGCGGCGTACTTTTTTTGGTTAGTGGCTGGGCTATGTCTCTGCTAGCCGTGGACTCCACGGAGTTCCGCGATCGGACGTTATCGCAGTGGCGCGACTCATATGTGGAGTGCAATTTTCGTTAAATGTTCAAAATCTGTTATTCCATTTGGAAGAAATTACAGATAAAACGCATGACTCTGATACTACAAGATTTCCTCAGCACCTTCACATGGTTTTTCTGCTTCAAGCGAGATAATACTGAAAGCTGGCAGCGATGTTAAACACAATTCTATTTTGATTGCTATAACGTTAGAAAGGGTCCTTTCAAAAAAGAGAGCGCAGAGCACTAGTCAGAAACTTAGGCTTTTGAACGATTATTAACACTTCTGTGGAAATTTTTTTTTCCAGCGTAAGAGGTCGTTTTTCTTCCCGTGCTGTCTGGCGGAAAAATACTAAAACTATTGGTAGAAAATTTCAGCTGATCCAAATTTTCATTGTTGAGAAACGAATTCATGCTAAAAAAATTATACATTGTAGTGTTTGTTTTTTCTTTGGAATAAATAATTTCACCTATGAAGTACTCAGTAATGGCTGGATTCAGAACAGATGTCGCCAACATGCATATTCTTGCTCTTAGAAACATCACGAGACGTGCATTGATCAGACTTGGCAGCAACGGAAATTATTAATTACGGTCACATAACAGAATGACGAGTAACTAAAAATCCTCATTGTTGCAGATATGTATATGCATATATATATATATATGTATATACATGCATATATACCTAGAGTAATAACCAGGTTGGACGAGTCGATCACATCGATGAACAGAAATTGATATGAATGCTGACTTTCATTCGGATCTTCATAGTGATAGTTCATAGGTTCGAATTTAACACTTATTCTTTAGCGACATTAGAGCGGCGTATAGAAATCTATTTCGGTTCTCTGCCATTTTTTCATCAATTGCAAATCAAACAAATTAATATTATGCCTCTTCAATGATCAATTTCAACAATTCTGATATTGTAAAGTTACGAAGCTATAAAAAAGAAAAATTGATGTGGATAGTCAGCTGAGTGAAGGAAAAGAGTTAATAAATTCATTCTTAACATTTGGTCACCAAATGATGAATGTCGTGGGGATTGTCGTAGTTTTCTAACGACATCCGAATGTTAACATGAAAGATGAAGACTTGCTATACATTATCGAAAAAGAGCATAAAAAAGAGTAATTAGTGAAAGAGGGTTAATGATTATTGTATAGGTGAGAGGCGAAAAATCTATATGAGAGGATATTTTGCGATACTCACCACTGGAAAGTCCAAAGAAAATCGCACATTGATTGCAAGTTCATTTCCGAACTATCTAGTACCTATCTGATCTCTGCCTAATCGTAAAATAGTCGAAAATCATTTTTACTCATCGACTTTGATTCCACAGCTGTTTGACAAACATACAGTGGTTATAGTGCTTACACGCTAGTACAGTTGACGCGAGTACCCTTCACTTGTTGTCTATAATCGAGAAACTTGATAGCCTTCCAATGCATCAACTCTGCGTTTTTTCTCGTTATCCCAGAGAAATCTGGCACCAAGTTGCCGATGTCGGCGGAATGGAGAGCCTGATTGGCACATGGTACGGGAACAAGCGAGTTTCGAGATAGTCGTTCGCAAAAAGCAAAGAAAAAGCAAATACTTTTTTTTCAAAGGGCTTCACTTCCTCTAAAAATAAGTGTTGGTTTCATGCAAATTTGCACTAAAATTATCGGAGTCTTTCGAAAATCAGGCAAAAAATGCGAGATATTGCCAGTTTTACTTCGAATTCTCTTTTACTTCGAACATCGCTCTCAAAATTTCTTGGTGTTGATTTAAGAGAAAAAGCCTTTTGCAATGCGGAGATCAGAAGACATCAACGGATGCATGGCCGTCGTAAACAGAACCCATGATGGATAAATCTTTTAAAAAATGCGCACATTATTGGGAAAAGGTGTATGGCATAAAAAATAAAGAAACTAGGCTTTGAAAGAAGATTTAAAGATGAAAGCACATTTGAATTCTTTCTATTTTGACTGCCACTTGCAGTGGTATGATGTTATACTTATGCCCAATATGTGGAGTACTGTGCAAAAACGCTTGCATCAGCCGGGATTGGAACCCAGATCTCACTTTTTCCGGGAGTGTATGCTAACCATTGCACTACCGACGCTCGTTCTTGCACAGCACTCTTATTAACGCTACAACGCGTTGTCTGCCAACAGTCAAAATAGAAAGAATTTAGACTCATCATCGATATCCAATATCTGTCAACACAAGTGGGTTCAATGCCGATAGCGGCTGCCCCTCCAGACCGTCGACGGTTGGCTGTTGGCAGACAACGCGTTGTAGTGTAAATAAGAGTGCTGTGCAAGAACGAGCGTCGATAGTGCAATGGTTAGCATACGCTCCCGGAAAGAGTGAGATCTGGGTTCGAATCCCGGCTGACGCAAACGATTTTGCACAGTACTCCACATATTGGGTGAAAGCACATTTGTTAGAAAGTCACTTGAGACTTCTTTTCATAGAAAAGTACATTAAGAAATCTATGCATACTCAAAAGTGCTCCTTGTAGATATTCCAAAATTGAGTTCATAGAACAGCTTGGACCGATTAGATACCAGATATATTAGATACATCGTAGTTGAACAAACGTGCGTGTAAGCTGTATTACAAGACCCGTTCAATTATCACGCAAGGCTCTGATTGAACTTGCATTCACCTAACAAAGCTTACATTCTTCATGGTACAAGAGATTGATTTGGAACCTATCCAATAATCTCCCTCAAAATAAAAAAAGGCTGATGACTGTTTGACGTGAACATCAGAGGACATCTTGATACGTTTATGCCAAAATTCCAAAAGCCAATTAATCTGACTAGCGTTCGACGATTTCCATAGAGATGAAAAACTGCTCATGGAACAAGCAAATAAACAAATTCGAAAACTTCATCAATGAAGAATGCGTGGAAATGAAGTGCTTACAGAAATCGCTGGGATCTGGAGCATAGATGCGATGGCGAGTCATGTGGGAAGATGCAACCTCATTTTTTATCTAAGAAAGGTGCACGAAAAACTTATTCCGAGATACGATCAAAAAATAGTTTAAAAAACTATACAATCTGCATTACAAAACAAAACATTACGAGCCTATGTGTCTTTCTTGCCGGTGATCTCCACTTGGATCATCCAGTGGAACACATATAAAAAGCGGCTCTGAAGAAGGCGAACTGCCGAAACGTCAGCTATCGAATAAAGTTTAATGTAACACCTCGTGTTCTGCTCAAAGAAGAAAATCAAGAATTATACAATCTGATTTCAATGTTATAAAATCAAGCAATCTTGAGACACCAGAAAAGTTCCCATTCATTCGTATAGTATGGTTCTCGGTGCAACCTGCCCTTTAATGGGGGCCGCCGACTTTTAGCGGCTATTATTGAAATAATTCAAAAAAAATGTTTCAAGCCTAAACGAGGTTGGTACGCCAGGACCATACACCGGTGTTTCGGCACCGGTGTATGGCCTTGGCGTACCAACCTCGTTTAGGCTTAAAACATTCTTTTTTGGAATTATTTTGAATGTTTATCACAAGGTTTTGAAAACAGTCGATCTTATGGATTAATATTGGAATACTTGAGAACATGTAGAGCATCACGCCTCAGCTTATATTTGTACTAATTATCTTAAGTAACTAATAATTACTTTGCAGGATACGTCCCAGACTCCTGTTCGTAGGCTCTCCAATGTATATGAGTCACTAAGTCCAATCGTGGCATGTATATTGAATATGTATGGCTTCGAAAATTAATCGTTTGTCTCATGTTTCTTCCGCATCTACACTTTTGTCATTTTAGTGTTATTTGATTGAAGAAGTCAATCAATCAACAGTATAATTACCAACATGATCGGTGACCTGCTAACATTTGCTGGGCAAAGATTGGATGCCTTTCTTCCAGAAAGAAACAGGCTGGCGATCGAAGAAGTTGATGAGGTCACTTCCGATTGTAGTCATTGAAATTTTTCCCACAAGTGTTGGCTTCAGGGCGCAGATGAGATGATATTTTCTACGGAGCGTTATCAGAGCTTTACGGTGGACGTCATGACATGGTTTATCCCAGTTTCATTAAAATATGGTGAGTTGATTTCGCAATGTGAGGTGACCGGTCAGTTCAGGAGGTGTCCACCAAGACATCACTTTACGGTAGCCTATTTCATTTACCTGCTCGCGATTGCTACGGCCACGTCGAAATGTTTCGCTAGAAGTACTAAAATAATTTAGAACATACCACACAATTTGGCATCAACCTGACTCAAAACAGAAAAAACTGGATACAATAACATTTCAAACGGAATTAGGGGACAATCTGACACTAAATAATTTAACTAAGCATAGCTAACGATTCTCGATAAATTAACCCAGAGTGCACTTCGATCTACGTTCATTCCCATATTTGTACCTGCCATTTATCAGACACGCTAACTAGCCCTGTAAGTAAATGAACCAATATCCATCATACGAAAGGGATTACATCATGGTGAAAAACATTGTAATTGCATTCAAAAATTGCAAGATGAGGACTGGTTTCTTGGAATAATGTTAGCGGTTTGGGGCAACAGCTCAAAAAATGTGAAAAGGTGATAAAGTGTGACCATGACTTGAGGACGTGAGAAATTGAAAGACTCCAATAGGGTTCAGTCCAGTATATGAAAAAGTCAGCTCAGAGAACTAAACTATTCCTAAATTCCACGTAAAACAACAAAATGGAAGTGCAATTCACAGATGTATTGAAAAGAAAGGAAAACTAGTATTCGATCAGAAA